TGCACAGTTACTGTGCTAATATTTTATTTTACGTGAGCTACTCACGTTTTTATTATATTGGTAATACTGCAGCTCACGTAGTTTATTACAAATGAATAATATAAGTGCTACCTTTTTCTTATATTATGTATTATATAGAAGCAACAATACACATGAGATTACCATTTCTTTTTCGTAAAATGTGTAAAAATTTTAATCTTATAAAAACGTCAAGCAGTCATTTGTAATAATCTACCAATTTACATGTCAAACCTTCCAAAAGCTTATAACAGAATACCTTAATTATTTGTTAGTAATTTTCATCACTGAAAACTGTGAATTCAAAATTTTGTTTTTACAACAATTATCATTTTGCACTTCTAATTTTAATCCCACTGCATATATTCACACAGTGACCAAAATAAAAGGTCAATGTCAACAACAGATTCAAGCGAGGAATGACTGCATGATAATAAAGCACTGAAAAACGCAAGCCAGAAAGCAAAGAAGTATTTCATAACATACTTTTCAAATTACAGTTACATATTTAATTTTTAAAATGCTTGCAATTTATAATGCAAGAGAGTATAAACTGTCTTATGTCATGTACCATGACATCAACTGTAACAGGATTATGCTACAAACCGTTTGATTCTTCACGTAGACAGTTACTACACTTACGCACATAATTTTAATTTAATAACTCATATGGCTGCCCACATTCCGAATACTTTATTTCTGACTTTTTGGATCTGATGTTGTTCATTACTTTATATTTAAATTTGCTCACTTGCATGCATATGTTCAGTTTAAATTTAAACTGGAATTTCGTAAGAAACTGAGTGATTACTTTTATAATCAGTCATGAAAATCATGACTCTATTCATTTTTACATACAAATCTGAACTAGTCTGGACTAGTTAATAAACACTGAAGCTATCTTAGCCTTGAACTTTCATTAATGAGATAAATCACCACTTCTGGCTAATGCAGTAGAATGATTTTGCACTCAACGAGAAAGCAAATAAAATACTCCCAAAACATTTAACTGACACATAATTCATGAAATAATTAAATCACGAATAAAGGTTTGCCGTGCTTAAGGTCATATGTAAACTAAGCAAACATGCTTTGTTCTCTCGTTTAACGCATAGTGAGTGTGCTGTCAAAGTTCAAATAAATAAATAAATCCTAAAATTAGTTAATGAAGCAAAGAGCAAAGTTGGCGTATACTTATTTCCGAGCCAAAAAAA